CGGGGCTGCGGCGCGGCGGGCGCGGCGGGGCGGAGCGGAGCGGCGCGACGCGGGGCGGCACGGGGCGGCACGGCACGGCACGGCACCGGCACGGAGCTGCACGGCAGGGCACGCCACCGGCGCGGCACGGCACGGCACCGGCGCGGGGAGGAGGCGGGATGCTCCCCCAGCAGCCCCTGCCCCAGGGATGCTGACCCCCCGGAAAGGTGATTCCCTGCCCGGGGACTCCCCGTCCCCGGGGATGCCCGCTGCGGAGGGGGATCCCCGCATCCCTGGGGGTCCCCGGAGATGGAGGCAGACCGCGTTGCCTCCCTCTAGCCATGGAGACAGCCCCTCGAGGGGCCCCCAGGCGTTCGCAGAACACCCACCCCCCCTTCCCCTGCAGAGGCCACTAAAGATGCGTTCATTTGGGGGCGGCTGCAGGTGACACGGGGGTTCCGCGATGCGCAGGGACCAGGAGCCGGGGATTCCTCTTTGCCTGATGGTTTTATGGAGCTGGGAGATTTGTGCTTGAGATTCCCTGCACACCTGAAGGAAAGGCATTAACATAGAGACAAACGGTGCACAGCACTGGCCGGGGAGACAAAGCCGCCTTTCATGCCCTGCTCCTGCTGCCTCTTGTTAATAAACAAGTGCTTTACCCTGCAGTGGCTTCCAGGAGGAGTCGCTTTAAGCTCCAAAAGGTGCTTGTTTGGGTTTATTTTCAAAGCTGATCCTGAAGCATCTGCACTCCCGAAGCCTCGCTGCCCAGACAGTGGGGAAGGGATCCGAGATGCTCAATTAGCAGCAGAGGATTTCATGGTTGTTGTTGCACTAGATTCTGCATTGAAGGGGAGCGGCCATAGTCCCATCCCACGGAGGTGACCTGGCGGCAGGAGGGCTGGGCTCAGCCTGCTCCGAGGCGATGGCTTTGGGCACAGACTGCAATGGAGGACCCAAGGGCCCTTCCAGCCCCAGGGGAACCCCTCAGCACACCCCAAGAGGTGACATGAGCTGGGTCTTTGAGTCCATCAGTGAGAGCAGAGGAGCACAGATGTCAGGATCAGGATTTACTCTCCATTTAACATAGCACAGCCCGAATCATCAAGAAAACCGGGAAGGGAGCCGAGCCTCTGTGCCCAGCCCGGCAGAGGCGCGGGGCACAGCCTCTCCTCGTGTTTCCCTGGCTCAGGGCGAGAGCCGGCGTTGTCCCACCGCTGGCACACGAGGGCACAGCCCCAGCACACACCCCCAGGGCTCTGCAGCCGTGGGCGGCCGTGGCTCCGCTCTGCCAGCCGGGACCACTGCTCTTCCCCTCTCTGGGAATGCCGGCAGCTCTCCGAGCAGCTCTGCCGTTTCAGGGCCGTGGTGCAGCGGGAGCCCCGCAGTGGGATCACAGCGGGGCTCGGGGAGCGTTTACTTCTTGTGCGCATTTTCTCTTGCTAACTGTGATTCTCCGCGGCTTTGTGTCTTCAGATGTTTCTGAAAGCTTTCTCTTTTCCCCTGATTGGTGACCGTGCAAAACTGCAGAGGAATGCAGGTGGAGGCAGAAGGGACCAGAAGTGCTTCCCACGGCAGAGGAGGGAAGAACACTGTTTTGGATTCAGGAAGCTGCTTAGAGGAGCAGGGAAACCACCTGACTTCTCTCTGGTTTTTACACAAATCTCTGAGAAATTCCCCTTTCCCCAACATTTTGCTCAGACAGCAAAAGAGGTTCAGCCTGAGAAGGAAGGAGATATCTGATAGCATAACTTGATCTGGAGCTCGCTGCTCTGCCCTGCCCCTCACCAGAAAGGACAGTTTCATGCCCAGGCAGTTGAGCTGCTAATCCTTATCTTCTTTTGCAGGTTGAAATCCCAGTGGGATACAGTGGTTCCACCACTGAGAGAAACTCAGTGCAAGATACCTGCGAGGCCTCTGGGGCAACTTTGAAAAGTGAGGTTTTCCTCTGCCTCTGGGGCATTTTGGAGTCCAGAACACTTATATTCAAAAAAGGGCACTGGTGACATCTCCTTTTAGCAGTATTTTTCCTGCTGTTCAGCCTAACTCTTGTGAAGTGAACTGATCTTCATCACCAGAGATACTTGCATTTCTCTTATCATTTGGGAAATGGTTTAGGACTAAATCCCTTCCCCCCTTCCATGCTGCTTTTCCCATATAAATGTAAAATCATTCTTTTCTGCAGGTTCTTGGGCATTTTGACATATGAAATGAATAAGGCAAAGCCCTGGGTGCAGTCACCAAACCAACCTGAACACTTGCTTTGAGAGAATGGAGTCTAAATAACATACTTTAAAAATATCTCACTTCAATTGCCTTGCGAAGACTCGACCCTTGTTCACAGAGTAACAAGATAATTCAGGAGGTCTGTGGTCTGCTTTAATTTATCCAAAGCCCACCTCTCCCCTACCTCTCAGCTGTGAAAACCCATATTTGCCATCTTGAAAAGGGCATCTGAACTCAGCCCAGATTCCACCCTGCCTGGAAGACCCCAAGCATTCAGCAGCACCATGAGAGGTTTTCATCCCTCAGGCAAATGCTGTGGGGGCTGGTTTTTCATTTACCTCCTTTAATTTTCCTCCTGATATTTCCCAGGGATGCCTACAAAACAAAGCACCTCTCAGGTCTCTGTTTCCCTCTGCCAAGGGAGCTCCTGGCACAGAGCCCTTCCTGGTGATTGATGCCACACAGGGCAGTGTCCCAGTGCCCCTCCCCACCTCAGGGAACACTGCAGCTCTTCTGCAAGGAGAGATGTTGACCCCCATCAGCACAGGCAAGCGAGCTGCACTTCTTCAGCATCCTCCACATGTTGCAGACCCTCAACCTCCTCCGTGTTGGTTGAAGATGTGCTCCTGCAGATCCGATGTGGGGATTTTGGTATAACGGGGAACACAGCACAGAACCACAGAATATCCTGAGCTGGAAGGGACCCACAAGGATCACTGAGCCCAACTCCGGGCCCTCCTGGCAGGACATCCCAACAATCCCACCCTGTGCCTGATAGTGTTGTCCAAAAGCTCTGACAGGTTTGGGGCCGTGCCCACTGCCCTGGGGAGCCTGTTCTAGTGCCCGACCACCCCCTGGGGGAAGAATCTTTTCCTAATATCTAAACTACTCCCCTCTGACAGAGCCTCATTCCATCCCCTGGTGTTATCCAGGATGGGGCTGTGCTCGGGATATCCTCAGAACCATGTGTGCATTCCAAGTGTGTCCCTCCAGCTCCTCCAGCCCTCCCCAGCACCAGATCTATCCTGGTTCCCTGCAGGGACCCTCAAGCCCTGCTGGTGTGAAGATGGATGACTCAGCAGACACCCCCCTCATACCCCAGCCAAGTTTTCCTTCCCCATGGGACATTTCTTCCCTCTGACAGTCAGGTGTTTTACAAAAGCCCAAACACCAGCAAATCCACTGCAGCCATTTTTCCCCCACCTCAATGTCTTCTCTGCAAGGATTCAGCTTGTTCATCTTGGGGCTGTCCAGCAACAGGGGGTGTGTAGCCCATGGAGAACATCAGTACCTGCCATGCAGGGCAGGATCCAGCCCTTCACCAGGACACACCAGGCTCCTGGCACCAGGGAGGACACCCCCACAGCCTCAGGTGAAATGAGAAAGGCAGATGATAAATGGTGAACACAGAAATTATATGGAAATATCAAAGCCCAGCACTCAATTTAAGACTCCAACCTGGACATTGATTAACCACAGAATCACGGAATGGTTTGGGTTGGAAGATACCTGAAATATCATCTAATTCCATGCTCACTGCCATAGGCAGGGACACCTTGCACTACACCAGGCTGTTGAGAGGGTCATGGTCAAATAAGCCATATCTTGGCAGTCCCTCCAGGTAGATAAGGACTGGGATGGAGAGTGATGTCCGAAATCATCTATCCCACTAGCCCATCCAAGGCTCCAACGAGCAGCATGGCTGCACCAAAGGAAACCAAGACCCATCTCAGAAGTCCTCCACCAGCAATGCTGCCATGGCATGACTGTCAGCTTCCTCCTGTCCCACTGTGTTCCCATATCTCCTGCCTGTCAATGGCACTCGCCAGACCCCTGCCAGCAGGGGAAGGCAGAACTGAGGGATGTAGCTGTAGGCTGCCTTTCCAGAAAGGAACCATCATGGCATGGAGACCTGACCCAGCTACCCCTCCTTCCCTGAGCTGGGAGAACATTGGCCCACTGTCATTCTGGGAGATGCTCAGCAGCCCAAAGAAAAGTTGGGCACATTTGCTGTTGGGTGACAAACCAGTACTTTACAAGACAGATGAAACTCATCCCAAAAGTTCTTTTATCTGTTGGCACATGGTGACCAAAGGGAAGAAAAATCGAGAGCACGTGGTTTCATTGGCCTGGCAGAGAAGCTATTAGGGTTCCCTCCAGTCCCTTTGTGACATATTCGCCCAGGCTCCAGGAAGGAAAAAAAGCCACTCATCCTTCAAGGAAATGTGTGCCTCTTTTATTTGCTGCCCTCCCCGAGAAACTCATTCACTCCTTGTCCACCCACACGAGCAGGAATGATGAATGAAAACAAACCACAAACAATTCAGCCTTCCCTTTTCCCTCCCAGCCTTCCAATCAGACGTTTCAGTCCCTGCCTTAGCACCCAAATGTTGCCCGTTGCTCATTCCGGCCGTGTGCCTGCGGATCCCTGGCTCGCCGTGCCGCTCACACGCTCCGTTCCTTGGATATGGGCAGCTGCATCCAACACATTCGTCAGCAGCTCCAGTTTTGGGAGGGCTTCACACCACTTAGGGTGGAGGAGAGGGGGGAGCCCGGCTCTGCAGGGCACCACTGCCCACCCTGCCTGGGGCTGGAGGATTCCTCTGGGGAGACTGGCAGAGGTGGACACCGGCAGAGAGACGGTGATCAGTGGGGCAGCACTTCTTGTCCCCTAGAAGGACGGTCTTGGCCAGGCACTGTGACGTGTCACCAGGAAGGTGACACATGGGTGCAAAATGGCACCAGCAGGGGCAATGCATTTTCAGCCCCCGAGCACTCCAGCCCAGTGAGAGACCCCTCCAACCCAGAGACTCTCCCCAGGACTGGGTTTCTCTGTCAGCCACTCTGATGTTTCTCTCTCTCTTCCCTTCTCTCCACACAACCTCCTTACACCCCCCTGTGTATTAAAGAACTATTGCAGGTATGTCTGTGCACCTCCGAATTCCCTCCGTAGATAAAGTCCCCTCCCATTTTTGCCTGGTTTGTGTATTTTGATGTAAAAATAAGCTGAGTGGGTGTGTAACTTATTACATGTGTAGGAAACACAGGGAAGGAGGACTTGAGGTTGCACCACAGTGGAGAGGGGCAAAGCTCCTGGTCTGGCTTTCCCCTTGATTCCCTATTTAAATATGATCTGCCACTGTTCAGATAAGGGACCTTCTCCAAATGACTTCTGAGATCCAGGAGACCATTTCTGCAGCAACAAGCTACTGCTTGCAGGCAGCCCATGGCTGGGAAATGCCCTTGATATTACAGAAGTGGTAACTTGTTTAATGGACTCAAATAAATAGGAAAGCCCAGGAGCTCATGTGGCAGCATCTGAGCCATGTACTGAGAGGTGCAGAGACCTTAGGGCAAGGCTAAATATAGGTCTCACAAACCAGAACAATGGAACTTTTACTGAGAAGATAATCAAGCCCTGGAGGAAACTACACAATATAAAGCTTAGATTTAAAATAAATGTGAAATGAGTTGGTGGATTCGGGACCAGTTCCTTATGGAAAAGTTTTCACGTCAGAAAAATCACTCGATGAAATGCACTTTTTAATTAGCAGTTTCAGCAAGGAGCCAGAGGGACTGAAGGGGTCCTGGAGCCTCATCCCTCACACTGTCACCTCACCCTTTGCAAGGAGAGCTGGGATCAGGAGAGGGATGGGCTATCCCAGGCTGGAGAGGAGCCCTGTTTGTTCCCCTTGTGACTCCCCATCAGCATGGACTTTGTCAGGAACCACCCAAAGACAACACCCAGGGCAGCAAGTGCTGCATCCTGGCAAGAAATCCACAGCCTGGGCGTGGGCACAGAACGGGTGCCAGTGGTTCCCTGCACACCAGTCCCTCTTTCTCTGCCTGCTGGAAGCCAGGCTGGAGCCACCTGGGACTGTCCAAACCAGCTTTCAGGTAGCAAGGTCCTGAATGCAGCATCCCTGCTGCAGTGCCCAGGAAGACAGGCTAGATCCTACCCACCAGGGCACACCGTGGCACTGCCATGTCCTCACCCAGCTCTCCTTCAGCCAGCTAAAGGGATGCAAATTAAAAGAACAAAGACCAAGTTGGTTTTCCTTCTCTTCCCTCTCTCTTTCCTCGCTTCATACCACACTGTAATCCTGTGCTTTGCAAATAAATTGTGTCTTTATGTCTCCTTTTCTCAATGAGTTAATGAAAATGATTTTTGCTCCAAGGTGGAGCATGAAAGTCTCACTCAGTGCTGAGCATGAGAGCAAGATGCAGGGCCCAGGAGGCACAGAAGCTCCTGCTACCCTGCGGAGTGATGGGTTGCATCGGGCTTCTGAGCCCCTCCAAGCATCTGAGCCTCAAGTTTCAATTTTCAGCTCCATTTTCAGCTCCCTCTCCTCCTTGCAAAGTCTGTGCAACAGCAGTGGGAGGTTACAAATAGAGCAAGGCAGCTCATCTGCTGCATCTCGCTCGTGTGATCCGTGGGCACGCACGTGCGTGTGCCGGATCCTCCCTCCACAGGCACTCCAAGACTATCCCAGCGTATCCATGGAGTGGTGGCCACGCGTCTTTCCCGGTCTGCAGCTCCCTCCTCAGCCCTTTGCTGTGCACGTCCTGGCTGGAGCTGAGGGCACAGGCGGCACCACGTGCATCTGCACCGAGATTAACCCTGCAGAGCCGGGGACAACAACGATTTGTATTTCCTCGTCCAGAATTCATCGCCTGGGAAGGCTGCCAGGCCAGCTCTGCCAAGGCAGAGGCTTCAGTGGGAGGCTCTGCTTGCTACAGGAGTGCTGGGGCACAGACATCACCGCCACTTACCTGCCCCAGGGGATGCTATTCCTGCCTCTCTGTCCCCTCCTGAAGTGCTGGGATCACACACACATGCTCGTTTGCTTTAGGGAACGAGAGGAGGGATGATGGGAGGTGGTCTCATTTAGTCAGTTTGAGGTCAGTTTAGGTCTGAGTTAATGGTGGCCAAAAATTACCTGGAGGGCAGGTACAAAGGCAGCAGAGCTAAAGTCTCCTTGGTGGGGCATAACACAGGGTAGCAGCCCTGTAGTGCAGCTTGGGATGCTGAGGGTGGACATCCAGATGATCTTACCTTTCCTGGGAGGTGGTGTATCCCTAGGAGAGCACACAGCATGGGAGAAGGGGCTTCATTGTTGGGCTTCAATGAGGCTGAGCCCAGTGAGGCCGTGGTCATCCCAACCTAGTGCTGATAACAGTCATGCTGCAAGTACTGGCCAGGACCATTTCAGGGCTCCCATCCCACTACCCTTTCTAGGATCCTGAGACTCTGGGATATATGAGCTCTAACCAGTCTGGCATGGTTGTTTCTGAGCCCCCAATTAGGGGGAAAATGCTGGCTTCCTGTGACTCAACATGGAGCACTTAACTCCTTTCCCCTTCCAGGAGTCACCACTTCTTCACGTAAGGAAGCAGTGGGGACAAGAGTGAGGGTCCCAGAGCCACTTCAGGGAAAGGATCCTGCACACCTCTCCTGCTTCCCCAGGCTGGGGATAGCCAGAGAGTCAGCAGGAGCCATGGCTCTGACCTGGGGAAGAGCAGTCTCTCCCAAGTGCCCTGCCAAGCCTGTTCCTTGGGGACACTCCCTGGGCAGGGTGAGAGAGCAGGTGGTGCGGGGGGGGTCTCTCCAGTTTCAGTGGGAAATGCCTGACAGCAAAAAGCTCGATGAAATAGCTGTTTTATAAAGCAGAGTAAAAAGAGAAATATCAAATGCAGCAAGTCTTATGCCCCTTCAGATGCAGGACACTCTGTGTTCCTACAGCATCAGATGAACCCAGGATGGATTTTCCCCCAGTGTCACACATATTCCTCCTCTGGAAAGAAGTTCTTCCCTTTTGGTCCCTCGAGCTATTATGTATCCTTCCTTTTATTCTATCTTATTAAAGCAGCTGTTTTATTATGCCATTTGCTGTCAGGCCTTTCCTATTGAGATGCAGAACTAACCCCCTCTCTCACACCACCCCTCCCAGTTGTGGAACAAGAATTGCCTCGTACATGCCAGAACCCCTTCCCAGCCCCCAGCACTGCTTTCAGCAGAACAGGGGTCTGTAGCTGCTGTTCTGGCTGCAAGACTGTCCCACAACTCCCTGGCAAAGCCAGTTTGCTAATGGTCCTGTTTTGTAAATAGTTTTCTTTCTCTAATGCAGCCCGGGTGCTCCACACGCCACAGTCTCTTTCCTGCTCCATCCAGACCTTGAGGGATCCGAGCACTGCGTCTCCCCACATGGTATTTGCTGAGCAGCTGTAAAACAATTAATTGAATTTAATTATTGAGAGGATGTTCGTGTTTCCTGCACGTTTACAAACCGTGTTATCTCAATCACACCAGGGCTGGTCTATAATTCTCTTTTTAATGAGTTCCCGAAATATTCCTGTAAGCAATATCCTCAAACTAGCCTCTCTGTCTAGGCACGCTGTGAGAGGCTTAAAGCACCCTGATGGATCCATGGAGCAGCCTGGCCACAGGGCACTGTTCACATGGGCAAATGTGACCTGAGGAAGCCTCTGGCAAAGCAAGCAGGGAGAGAGACAGCAGCTCTGTCATGTGCCCTGCAAGGGGGAACTCACTGGTGCTCAGAGGCTGGTCCACACTCCGAGCTAGGACTGTCTGCCTGCTCTGACAAGGCAAGAAGCTGGTAGTTCCCCTCTCTGGAAAGGGAACACCAGGAAAAGGAGAGAGAGGGTAACTCTCTGCGGTGTTTTGAGGCAACAAGCCTGGGAGACAGGAGGAGATCCTACCACCCAAGGCAAGGGAGATGGGCTCCCTCCTGCCAGCATCACCTCCAAGCTTCTCAGCTCCTCTCTGCACCCGAGTGCCCAGCACTGCACTGGTCCAAAGGCACCCAGCAGCCACCCACAGCTGTCCTCCTCAGCCAGAGCTGCCACACAGCCCCCTGGCTCTCCTCTGACAGTGCCCAAATTGCCACACCAGGTATCCAAGTGCCTCCAGTCGCTGCTCCCTGCAGCTCCAGGAAAATAAACAACTGCTCTTTCCCCTTTTCCTCGCAGCCAATTTGCTGCTCAGACAGCTCTGCCCTTCAACCTGCCCCCGTGAAAACCACTTGGGTTCCCAGCATGGGGTGGGACCTGAGGAAGGCAGAAGGTTCCCCCTGGCCCTCATAGGTCCCTGGTCCTCACCCCAAGGCATGCAGACCCTTACCAAGGGACAGAGGAAATGACACGAGAGGCTCATCTCTGGCTGGGCTCTACAAGAATTTCCAGGGCATGCTTTTGTCCATTTATTTTAGAACTGGGAGGGAGGGGAGTTGGAAGTGTTTAAATTAAGCTCCAGTGCCTCTGCTCTCCTCCAGGTAGGTATTTTTCTATTCCTGGGTTTATGTAGCATCCTTTTAAATTACTGCTTTGGGTATCAGCTGTGCCTGCAGGGCTGCATTCACTCACACACACAGATGCCCCCGGGATCCAAAAGGCAGGTCCTGAGCTTCTGCAGTGAGCTTACACTGCTAGAACAAGCCTTGAATACACCCATTAGCCTTGTGGCTGCAGTTTACCACCATAGGGATAAAGGATTCAAAACCTTTACCAGTAACATCACTGGGTGGGTGCAGGGTGCAAGGGGACCATCATCTCGATGCAGCAAGAGGTTCCACCACAGGGACATCAGCTCCTCACAACCCAGTAATGGATCTGAGCTCTTGTCTGTTCTGCATGGCCCAATCTGCACAGCTGGAGTTGAATCTTTGCTGTGTGAGTTTCGGGGCAGTTTTCCCTTCAGAGCCAAATCCCACAAAGGATGGGGCTGGGGAGCCAGGACTGTGTGTGCTGGTTGTGGCTGGGATAGAGTTAATTTTCTTCACAGTAGCTGGGATGGGGCTGCGCTTTGGGTTTGTGCTGAAAACATGGGTGATAATATAGAGATGTTTTTGTTATTGCTGAGCAGGGCTCACACAGAGCCAAGGCCTTTTCTGCTTCTCTGCTTCAGTGAGCAGGTTGGGGGTGCACAAGGAGCTGGAAGGGGACACAGCCAGGACAACTGACCCCAAAAAACCCAAGGGATATCCCAGACCATACAGTGTCGTGCTCAGCATATTAAGTGGGGAACATTTGGGGTGATGATATTTGTCTTCCCAAGTCACTGTTACACATGATGGAGCCCTGCTGTGCCCAGCTGGATAGCTGAACATCTGCCTGCTCATGGCAAGTGGGGAATGGATTCCTTCTTTTACTTTACTTGTGTGCAGCTTCTGCTTTCCCTATTAAACTGCCTTTCAGCTCCTGCTTTTTCTCACTTTTACCCTCCCAGTTTTCTTGCCCATCCCATCAGAGGGGGAGTGAATGAGCAGCTGGTGATGCTGAGCTGCCCTCTGGGTTAAACCACAGCACTGTGCCACACTGGCCCCAGCCAGCCCACCTCCAAGCTGAGGACTCACTACGTCCTCTCAGAGTGGCAACAGTCAGGTTAGCATCTCGAGAGAGAAACTTCTCTTTCGGGGGAAAAAAAAAAAGCCAAGGCATCCTTTTCTTGGACACAAAACTGTGATTTGTTCTAAATCTCATTTCCAAACTGCAGTTTGTTCTGTATCTCCCTTCTCATCCTCGCACGTGTCTGGGTTTTTTTTGGCCCAAGGTGGAAGTAGTCAGCCCATTTCACCCCAGCTCTGTGAGCGACCTTGCTCCCTGTGAGTGGGATTGGGTTCATTGAGGGACTTGAGAACGCCAGGACAGACAGTTACTGCCCAGCTCTGCCTCCTGCAGTGCCCTGATAAATCCCAGTTGCCCAAAGGGAGTATTTTGGCTGGTACTTGGAGAAGAAAGACATCAGGTGAGGGATGCTGAGAAGGTATGTCTGTAGCAGCAGATCTGGACAATGCCACCAACACTGGGACAGCAGATGAGGGTCTTTATTGGCAGCTTTCTTCTACAGTTTGCTGTGTGTACGAGTATACCTTTGAAAAGCAAGGAGGGATGGAAGTTGGGAGGCTGCCCTGCCTCAGCTTTGGACCCCCAGGGGCTCTAATCTCTACTTCTCCACCAGCTGGAGTGTGGCATCGCACTGGGAACATGCTGGATAGGAGCTGGGAGATGCAGCTCCTCAGCAGGGAGATGGGAAGCAGTGTGTGGAGACAGCAGGAAGAGACTCCTGTCCAGGAAACATCCCACCACTTGGGACAAAGTGGAAGGGCTGGGAAGTGCTAGAAAGACTCACTGCAGTGATGGTGCCTGAAACATTTGATGGAGAGCCATGGAGAGCCAACAGGACAAATGTCACTATCTCAGCATTCCTGGTGGATGAGCTTGGGGAGCTTGGCCACAGGTAACCCATGGGGCACAAAGGTGCTTTGGGCTGACACCTGGGTACCATCCTGAGTTCACAGGGAGAAAGGATGGGTGAGAGGATGGGTTTGCATGGCTCTCAGTAGGTTGTCTGAATGCTGCAGAAGGCTATTTGGACACAGGGACATATGAAGGACATTTCCAAAGATTGTAAAATATCTACTCCATGAGTTGAGACTTGCCAACATCCTCACACGATTTTTAAGGAAAGGGAGTTTAAAGTATTCTGGGAAAGAATCACAGTCTTCAAGAAACTGCATCAAGGAGGGACTGGAGTCTTAACCTCAAAAACAGAAGTTACAAATGGCCAGAAAGCTTCCCTGGCTGAAGGAGGTATGGAGGTTTGGCTGTCCCAAGGGACACTCACACCTGGGAGTCTCTAGTGCCAAGACTCCTCTCCACACGGTGTGGAGAGCACTGCCTTCTCCCATCCCATTCTCCTCTGGGAGCCTGCACTGGCTGGACTGCTCTTGGACATGTCAGCGACTCCACTTGGTCTGATCCAACAGCTTTTGCAAATTAATGGCAGGATAAATCAGGTATTCTGGCACAGGAGTGGGATGCACCTCTATCAGACAGGGCTGGGAATCCCAGAAGGCTGCAGACAATGCCTGCCAGTGCTTTATAAAGCACACTTCCCAAAAACATGCTTTGGGGGGATGGATTCACAGCCCACAAACCCCAGCATGTTCATAAGCCCAGAAAGAAAAGCAAGACCAGAGAGGATGTGAGCTGCCTTGCTGTACCAGTCAAGGACCTGGGGTCACGGCTGTAGGAACATCACCACAGGACCATCAGGACACAGCTCTGGAGACTCCAGCAAGGCAGCATGAAAACAAAAGGAATCAAACAGCAAAAAGGCAGGAGTGCTGCCATCCTAATAAAAGGATGAGCCAGCTGGTCACCAGGAACCAGAGCAGCTGTCCCACTGAGCCAGCTATGCCCATCTTCCTGGACACCCAGGGGGATGGAGCATGGGTGGGGCATGGGGAGAAGGAAAGGAAGCAAGAGGCCCAGCCAGGCATCACACCACTTGGACTAGAGGCAAAGAAGCCAGGTGGGTACTGGGAGACAGGCAGTCACACACAGGGGTGACACAGCCTTTGCTAACTGCTGCACATAATGCTGGGCTCTACTCCTTGCTCCCCCTTAGGAGGCAAAGAGCAAAAAGCCCTGGTTTTATAAATTCTTCTCACTGAAAACCAGCAAGATTAGAACTTGGTGGCCATTAATTGCTGGTTTTCAACAGAACAGCAGCCAGCACTTACTGGATTAGGCAGGGAGCTGGAGAACCATGCTTCCCTCTAACTTCACTGGGAACCAAGAAGTGGGGAGGATCCTCCCTCTCTGCAGGTGATGGCACTGCAGAGTCCTCCATGGCCAGAAGGAGAAAGAATGAGGGGGAAGACATTTTGCTGAGAAAAGAGAAATGGGGAGACTTGCAGGCCAGTCAAGGGAGAAGAGAAAGCATGCTGGAATTGGGACAAGTCATCATGAAAACAATCCCAAACTTAATTCTCTTGGATGGGACTTCACGTAGTGCTTAGAAGAATTGCCACTTTATCTTTGCAGACACAAGAAGCAAGAACTTTTTCTGCCATTGTGCAGTCACCAATTCCATTTTTTTCCTCTTTTTTTTTTTTTTTAAGAGTGAGCAAAAGAGGCATCTTTGCAGCTCACCATGGAAACTGCTGTTGTGGACAAGGAATGGCTGGTGTGTCCTCAGGGTGTCACTCTCTAGCAGGTGGCCAGAAAGACACCAACCCTGCACCCAGGGTCAGTCTGGATCCAGCTGTGCCCCACTCTGGAACAGCTGGAATCCAGGCTCCCTGGCAGGGCACTGACCCTCTAGGATCCCTGTAGAGGAATCCCTGCCTCAGTGCTCACCCAAAACAGACCATCAAAGGAACCAGAGTTGTTTTTTCGGAGAGAAGCGGTTCCAACTGGAGGGCTGCAGTTATCCGTGGCCAAGCTTTCCCATTGTTATTTTACAGTTGCTTGATGTTCTGAAAGATATTTAGAAAAATGACTTTAACTGTCCTGTGCCAAACTGGGTGAGGGTGAAAAAAAAATGAAATTTGGCAGAGATGTTATTCATTCAGCATGCAGCTTGGATGACGTCCAGTGACTAACACAGGAGTTTTAACTGATTGGGGAGACTAAAAACCATTCACAAATAATTTGATTTAGGGTCACTGTGATTTCTTTTTATAAATAATTTTCATTGAGAAGTATTTTTTTAATTAGGATCGACAGATCCTAATAGCAGCTCTATTGTGTGCGCCGCTCATCATTCTCGTCTTCCTAAATGACTTACACATGTTGTGTGCTGGTTTCTTGTTCCCTGCACACGATGGGGCTTGTTCACGGGGTAACCAACCCCTCACGACAGTGGGTGAGCCGTGCTGAACTCCTCACTCCAAAGGCACGGCTCTGAGGGGGACCCACATGGAAAGCAAAGGAAGCTTTCACCATCCTGTTACACGCTCTGGTTCAGGGGCTGGTCTAAGCCTTTGCACAGCTTCAGACATCCCCCCACAGCTGTAACTTTGCTCTGGCTCTGAGAGATGGCAACAGTGACTTTGCTTGGAGTGCTTCAGTGCTCCAAGTCCCATCATGGTGCAGGAAGTTCTCTGGATCTCTTTTCCATGGTGGGAGCGCTGGACAAGGATGGGACCGAGGCAAATATGTGACACAACGTGGCAAAAAGTCTAAACTCATTCGCCTCCTAATCCAGCAAATCGCCCAACTCAGCCTGAATAGATCTGGGAAGACTGCAGGAGAATTCGGACAGAAGAATGACTCGGCGACTCGAATGAATCTTTCTTGGCAACATCCTCCGTGTGTGACAGCCTTTTCTTTGACTTGCACAATAACAATTGCAGCCCAGCCACTTCAGTTACTAATCTTATCTGTTGTTTGAATGGCTCTTAGCTTCCCTCCTGTTGATTATAAATGTTTGTACAAGTTCTTGGAGTCAGCAGAGTTGTTGTTTCGTAGCTGAATAACAGGCTTGGGCTCCAACGTTGGAGATGCTCGCTGTAATGATCAGATATGTTCTTAAAAGCCCACTGAATTGGATTTCAAAACAAAAGGCCCATTGATCTTAAGCCTGAATTCCCAGCCACAACTCTGAAAAACATTTTCCCTTGTCTTTCTGAGGAACTGAAACTGGTGCGATAAACTACGACTACAACCGTCAAAGAAAGGAGGATTTATCTTATGAGAGGAAACTACCAAAAGTTGATCTTATTTAGGCTATCAGGAAGGGCTGAAGGGGATATAATTGCTACTGAGACACATGTGGAAGGGGAGAAAACACGAGAAAATCTTGTGAAATCCCCAAGCCGAGAGTTGTGTGACTGGGGACGAAAAGATTTCTGATTTTCAGAGCAGAGGTCTGGGATGGGTTCCAGCAGAACCCACAGAAGCAGCCCAGGGTGCAGCCTGATAACCACATGGAAGACACTGATATGACTGCAACAGGCAGGGAGGGCAGTGTGCGACACAGGAGCTCGCTGCAAGATCCCATCCAGCCTTTGGCCATCAGTACCAGGACAAGGCATGAAGAGACTCCCCGGGCTCCTGCACTTATCCATTGCCTTGGTCTGTCCTGTTTGGCTCCTCACCTCACCCAGTGGCCATCCCAGGCTTGCCTCGGCCACACGATCTTGTTTTTAGCACTGGGCAGACTGTCATGGCCAGACGCCCAGGATGGACTGCTGTGGAAGAGTTCTCATTGAAATTGAGGGGGAAAAGCAACTTTTTTGCTTTGTTTTCTTTACTTAAATAGCCAAATGTTGTATTCTAGCCAAACTCAGTCTCAAAACCAGAGCATCAGGTAGTTGCTGTGACTTCCAACACAGAATGGTGCTGGGCAAGCAGACTCACCAACACAGTCCTACCAAAGCATAAATGTCTTCTTCCCGGGATTGCTGGTGCCCACCTAGAGCACATTCGCCCTCGAAACAGTAACACTGGCCTGTGCTGGGATTAAAAAATAACCTCTGCTGCTGGCCAGCATCGTCAGCACCAGTGATTCCCACTCCACTCCAGCCAGAGACAGACCAGCCACATGCTTCCAGGGCTTTCAGCAAACACAATTCCTTAGCAGTTATGCATTTCCCAACTCTACCACATGGATAAAGCAGTGGTTTATCCATAAGGATACCCGGTGGCATTAGCAAGATAGGCCTCAGTTAAGGCTGTTTAATGCCGTTCGCCTTCAGGATAAAAAGAGCAAATCAAGGCAAAGGGGTTGCCAGAGCTCCAGCCCACAGCCTGCCATGGATGCAGTGAGGTGATTCCAGCCTGGACATGCAGTTCCTACATCAAAGACACCTCGAGAGAGTTTGGGTGGGCTGAAAATCAAAGGCAGCATCTGTGCATCCCAAGCACTCGAGGCTTTCCTGCAGCCAACAGCTCAGCCAGCTCTGAAATATTCTTTCCTTGGTAAAAGGAAACTGCTTCCCTATTTATTTTTTTAATTACCCAAAGAGTCGCTGTCACCAAGGCTTTAACCACAGCCATGGGGCAGGGCTGAGGGTTCCTCCCATGACATCTGAGCATCCTCTAAGCCTCAGTTCAACTCCTGTCTCCTCAATAAGGCATAGGAGTGCCAAACACATCCTGTGGGCCACCCCAAAATTCACCTCATTCGTTGTGTAACACTTGGGGGCTGTTTAGGATGCTTGAGGTAGATCAATGCCCTCCACAGAGGGCAGCTGTCCTGGAAGCAGCAGGCAGGGCAGTGACTTTTACCCAAAGCAATCCTGCCACTTTGCTTCCGCACCAGGAGAAAACATGCTTACTTGGGCTAGAGCTGGCTTGGGATGCGGGTTTGGAAACAAGGACTATAAACTAAAGCCTCTCCTCCAAAACCCACCTCCAAAACCTACTTCCAGACCTCCAAAGTCCACCTCCAAACCCCAAAAACCCACCACCAGACCACTAAAACCCACCTCCAAATCTCCAAGTCCCACCTCCAAAACCTACCTCCAAACCCACCTCCGTCGGGGATGGGGGGGATGCTCGGCGTGTGTGCCCGTCCAGCCCCCCCAGTCCCCATCCCCGCTGCGCTCCGGGGGGACTCCCTTTACCCCGCTCCGCTCCGGAGCCCTATTAATTAACTCCATTACCAACTCCCCGAACAAACACACATCCCACCCGCGGAGCCCGGTAATCCCACCGGGGCGGAGGGCTGGACGGTTCCCTCCGAGGAGCACGACCCGGGAGCCGCTGCCGGTGGGGTCGGGAAGGCGGTGGTGGGGTCGGGAAGGCGGCGGTGGGGTCGGGAAGGCGGCAGTGCCGCGGGATCGTGGTCGGGAAGGCGGTGGTGAGGTCGGGAAGGCAGCGGTGCCGCGGGATCGGGGTCGGGAAGGCGGCGGTGGGGTCGCGAAGGCGGCAGTGCCGCGGGAACGGGATCGGGAAGGCGGCGGTGCCGCGGGATCGGGGCAGAGCGGCGCGGCAGCTGCAGTACCCGCGGCGGCCGCGCGGCGGCGCTGGGCGCTGCCGGCGCTCACCGGGGCGGCCGGCGGCGGGGGCCGCTCTCTGCCGCCTTCCCGCGCCCTCTCCTCGCTCCGGCAGATCTCGCGAGAGCGCGGCCGGCTGGTGGCCGCGGGGGCTGTTGCAGCAGCGGCGGCGGCGGCGGCGGCGGCGGCGGGAGGAGGAGGAGGAGGAGGAGGAGGCGGCGGCGGCGGCCGGGGGCGGCCGAGGCGGCGGCGGCGGCAGGAGGCG